ATTGTCCCTTTGGTGTCCCCCCGCAGCCGGGTCCTGCCGAGGGGAAGGGCGGCGGGAAGGCCAACATGCTGCGGGGCCGGAATTCGGCCACCTCCGCCGACGAGCAGCCCCACATCGGCAACTACCGCCTCCTCAAAACCATCGGCAAGGGCAACTTCGCCAAGGTCAAGCTGGCACGACACGTCCTGACCGGCAAGGAGGTGAGTGCCACCGCGGCAAGGGGACAGTCCTCGGCCTGCCAGTGCCACCGCGGCACCGGGACAGGTCCGGGATCCTCGGCCTGTGAGTGCCACCACGGCATGGGGACAGTCCTCGGCCTGCCAGTGCCACCGCGGCATGGGGACAGGTCCGGGATCCTCAGCCTGTGAGTGCCACCGCGGTGTGGGGACAGGTTTGATTGTCCCTTTGGTGTCCCCCCGCAGCCGGGTCCTGCCGAGGGGAAGGGCGGCGGGAAGGCCAACATGCTGCGGGGCCGGAATTCGGCCACCTCCGCCGACGAGCAGCCCCACATCGGCAACTACCGCCTCCTCAAAACCATCGGCAAGGGCAACTTCGCCAAGGTCAAGCTGGCACGACACGTCCTGACCGGCAAGGAGGTGAGTGCCACCGCGGCAAGGGTCGCACCGCGGTGTGGGGACAGGTTTGGGATCCTGCGAGTGCCCCCGTGGTGTGGGGTTCACGGTCCTCGCCCTGTTGGTGCCACCGTGAGGATGGCTCGTGGTCCTCGTTCTGTGAGTGCCACCACGGTGTGGGGACGGTCCTCAGCCTGTGGGTACCACCGCGGTGTGGGGACAGGTTTGGGATCCTTGGCCTGAGTGCCACCACGGTGTGCGGTTCGTGGTCCTCACCCTGTTGGTGCCACCATGGGGATGGGCTTGTAGTCCTCAGCCTGTGAGTGCCACCACGGTGTGGGGACGGTCCTCAGCATGTGGGTACCACCACGGTGTGGGGACAGGTTTGGGATCCTTGGCCTGAGTGCCACCACGGTGTGCGGCTCGTGGTCCTCACCCTGTTGGTGCCACCATGGGGATGGGCTTGTAGTCCTCAGCCTGTGAGTGCCACCACGGTGTGGGGACGGTCCTCAGCATGTGGGTACCACCACGGTGTGGGGACAGGTTTGGGATCCTTGGCCTGAGTGCCACCACGGTGTGCGGCTCGTGGTCCTCACCCTGTTGGTGCCACCATGAGGATGGCTTGTGGTCCCCAGCCTGTGAGTGCCACCATGGTGTGGGGTTTGTGGTCCTCACCCTGTTGGTGCCACCATGGGGATGGGCTTGTAGTCCTCAGCCTGTGAGTGCCACCATGGTGTGAGGACAGGTTTGGGATCCTGTGAGTGCCACCATGGGGATAGGCTTGTAGTCCTCAGCCTGTGAGTGCCACCACGGTGTGGGGACGGTCCTCAGCCTGTGGGTACCACCGCGGTGTGGGGACAGGTTTGGGATCCTGCGAGTGCCACCATGGTGTGGGGACAGGTTTGGGATCCTGTGAGTGCCACCGTGGTGTGGGGTTCACGGTCCTCACCCTGTTGGTGCCACCGTGAGGATGGCTCGTGGTCCTCATCCTGTGAGTGCCACCATGGTGTGGGGACGGTCCTCATCCTGTGAGTGCCACCATGGTGTGGGGACGGTCCTCATCCTGTGAGTGCCACCATGGTGTGGGGACAGGTTTGGGATCCTGTGAGTGCCACCACGGTGTGGGGACGGTCCTCAGCCTGTGAGTGCCACCACGGTGTGGGGACAGCTTTGGGATCCTGTGAGTGCCACCATGGTGTGGGGACGGTCCTCGGCCTGTGAGTGCCACCACGGTGTGTGGTTCGTGGTCCTCGCCCTGTTGGTGCCACCATGGGGATGGGGTTTGTGGTCCTCGCCCTGTTGGTGCCACCATGAGGATGGCTCATGGTCCTCGTTCTGTGGGTGCCACCATGGGCGACTGGCTTGTAGTCCTCAGCCTGTGAGTGCCACCATGGTGTGGGGACAGGTTTGGGATCCTGTGAGTGCCACCACGGTGTGGGGACGGTCCTCAGCCTGTGAGTGCCACCACGGTGTGGGGACAGGTTTGGGATCCTGTGAGTGCCACCGCGGTGTGGGGACAGGTTGGGATCCTGTGAGTGCTACCATGGTGTGGGGTTCACGGTCCTCACCCTGTTGGTGCCACTGTGAAGATGGCTTGTGGTCCTTGTTCTGTCAGTGCCACCATGGTCGACTGGCTTGTAGTCCTCGGCCTGTGAGTGCCACCATGGTGTGGGGATGGTCCTCAGCCTGTGAGTGCCACCGCACCACGGGGACAGGTTTGGGATCCTCGGTCTGTGAGTGCCACCACGGTGTGCGGTTCGTGGTCCTCGCCCTGTTGGTGCCACCATGAGGATGGCTTGTGGTCCTCAGCCTGTGAGTGCCACCATGGTGTGGGGACAGTCCTCAGCCTGTGAGTGCCACCACGGTGTGGGGTTCGTGGTCCTCACTCTGTTGGTGCCACCATGAGGATGGCTCATGGTCCTCGTTCTGTGAGTGCCACCATAGGGATGGGCTTGTAGTCCTCGCCCTGTTGGTGCCACCGTGGGGATGGCTTGTGGTCCTCGGCCTGTGAGTGCCACCACAGCGTGGGGACAGGTTTGGGATCCTGTGAGTGCCACCATGGGGATGGGCTTGTAGTCCTTGGCCTGTGAGTGCCACCGCGGCACGGGGACAGGTTTGGGATCCTGTGAGTGCCACCGTGGTGTGGGGACAGGTTTGGGATCCTGTGAGTGCCACCACGGTGTGGGGACAGGTTTGGGATCCTGTGAGTGCCACCACGGTGTGGGGACAGGTTTGGGATCCTGTGAGTGCCACCATGGTGTGGGGACAGGTTTGGGATCCTCGGCCTGCAAGTGCCACCATGGTGTGCGGCTTGTGGCCCTCACCCTGGAGGTGCCACCACAGGGGTGGGCTCATGGTCCTTGTCCTGTGAGTCCTGTCACAGTGTGGGGACAGTTCGGGGCTCCCAGTCCTTGTCCCATGAGTGCCACCATGGTGTGGGGAGGGGTTCCAAGTCCTTGTGGGTGCCACCATGGGGACAGGCTCCTTGTCCTCGCCCTGCAGGTGCCACCACAGCGTGGGGACAGGCTCCTGGTTCTCACCCCGTGAGTGTTGCTGTGGCGCGGGGACGGACCCGAGCTCCTGGTCCTTGCCCTGGGAGTGTCACCACGGCACGGGGACAGGTTCCTGCTCCTCGCCTCACAAATGTCACCACGGTGTGGGGACAGCCCTGGGGACAGTCCCATCCCCTTTCCTGTCACCCTGGGAGTGCCACCGTGGTGTGGGGACGGTCCTGTCCCCCTGCCTGTCACCTCACAAGTGCCACACGGTGTGGGGACAGTCCTGTCCCCCTGTCCTTCACCCTGGGAGTGCCACCATGATGTGGGGACAGTCTTGGGGACAGACTTGTCCCCCTGCCCAGCACCCTGGGAGTGCCACCGCGGTGTGGGGACAGTCCTGTCCCCCTGCCCATCAGCTCACGAGTGCCACCACGATGTGGGGACAGTCTTGGGGACAGACTTGTCCCCCTGCCCCTCACCCTGGGAGTGCCACCACGGTGTGGGGACAGTCCCATCCCCTTTCCTGTCACCTTGGGAGTGCCACCACAGTGTGGGGACAGTCTTGGGGACAGTCCTGTCCCCCTGCCCCTCACCCTGGGAGTGCCACCGTGGTGTGGGGACAGTCCTGTCCCCCTGCCTGTCACCTTGGGAGTGCCACCACGGTGTGGGGACAGTCTTGGGGATGGTCCTGTCCCCCTGCCTGTCACCCTGGGAGTGCCACCACGGTGTGGGGACAGTCTTGGGGATGGTCCTGTCCCCCTACCCGTCACCTCACGAGTGCCACCACGGTGTGGGGATGGTGCTGGGGATGGTCCTGTCCCCCTGCCCCTCACCCTGGGAGTGCCACCATGGTGTGGGGATGGTCTCATCCCCTTTCCTGTCACCTTGGGAGTGCCACCACGGTGTGGGGACAATCTTGGGGACATTCCCTGACCCCCTCTCCCCCCTCCCCTTCCCCAGGTCGCCGTGAAAATCATTGACAAGACGCAGCTCAACTCCTCCAGCCTGCAGAAGG